GGAGGTTAGGAGGCAATTACTGGGAGGTTTTCGTCGGATTGATTAGGAGAATCAAGCCCAACTGGGGGGCTACTACGCAGGATTAGACCGCGGATTAACCGGGATTAAGCCGGATTAAGCAGGATTAAACTGGATTAAGCGGGATTAAGCCGGATTAAGCCAGATTTCGAACCAGGGGAAAGTCAGAATTTGACATCCCAGGAGTTGCATCCGAAAGGAGGAGCAGGAGGAGGAGAGGGAGGATGAAGGAGGAGGAGGAGGAGGGAGGAGGAGGAGGAGAAGGAGGAGGAGGAGGAGGAGGAGGGCGCCATTGGAAACTCTTCGGAAAATGCAGTCCTGAACATACGACCACTGTCCTGCTCTCAGCGTGTATGTGCGTTCGGGCCCTGCGAAAACGAAGCCGCTGACAGGCTATAAGCAGCAGCGCAGAGGGCGTGCATGGTGAGTGAGGTCGGGCGACACGGCCCTCCGAGATGCCCGCTGAGAACCAGCCACGCGGGATACACGCCAAGTGCAAAGCACTTAGCGTGTATATCAAGGGGCCCAAGGACACACAAACAAATACACACAAATCCCAGGATTCCCCATTTGTTCACATGTTTTCTGGATTTTCGTCTTCCCACCCGTTGTCCATATTTTCCCATCTTATTCTGGGAATCGACGATCAATTGTGTCTGTGTGTTTCCCCCCTCCTGAATATAGGCGTATCCCCAACTACACGCTAAGAATTGGACCGTGACCGTACACATAAACTGCTCGAGGGCCGCGCAGACGTCTTGGATCCGCGCTGGGCCCCCCTCCCCTGGCGCGTGAAGCGCACCAGGGGCGGCGCTGGAGGCGCCGCCAGGGGGGCCCAGCGCAGATCCAAGCAACCCGCGCGGAGATCCGAAAGTGCATGTCTGTGCTGTTTGCCTCTTCTTCGATCTAGAGGCCTCCTACGTAGACGGGGTCCGACAGATGGGGTCAGAGGATCGCGCCGCATCGCCGATACATCGGCGAGTGCATCTGCATGTATCTATCGCCGGCGCATCAGCGATGCATCGGCGCCGTCGGCGTGGAGGACATCGGAACCCACATCGAACCGCATCTGCGATGCATCTTGAGCAGGGACCGACCGCCCCGGCATTCCTCAAGGCCTACCACGACATGTTATCAGAACAGCCCAATGCGTTAAAACAAACAAGAACGGCCACACATGCTATGATAACGTCTCGTGCAGACCATAAAAGGTTCTTAGAACACTCTTTGGTGGGCCAACAGGCCAGCCAGGACGCTTCGCCACTGCTTGAGATGCGGCACCATCCTCCGACCCCGTCTGCTCGGACCCCGCCGGGGAGGCCGCAGGAGCCTCGCCAGCGCGCGGGGGCGCCGGCGCTCGCACAGCTCCCGCAGCACGAAGAGCACCGCCGTCGGAGGCAGGGTCTCGATCGCCTCGGCGGCGGGCTACGGCTGGCGCCGCCGACCCTGCAACACGACGACGACGACGACGATGACGGCGACGGTGACGAAGACGAGCACGACGACGACGACGACGACGATGGCGACGACAACGGCGACGACGACGGCGACGACGACGACGACGACGACGACGGCGGCGGTGACGACGACGGCGACGGCGACGGCGACGACAACGGCGACGACGACGACGACAACGGCGACGACGGCGGCGGTGACGAAGACGAGTACCACGACGACGACGACGACGACGACGACGACGACGACGACAACGACGACGGCGGCGGTGACGACGACGACGACGACGACGACGACGACGACGACGACGACGACGACGACGACGACGACACCGACGGACCGGCCAAGGGGCGGCCCTCCGAGCGCCACGCCGCTTTGGGGCCCAGACGGGAGCGCGTCGTGCAAAAATCGCGACGGGAGGGTCATTTGCGACTTCTTGCCGCTAGAAGACAACAGCATAAACACAAGCTTGTGGCGCTCCGCGCGGATTTCTTGGATCTGCGCTGGACCCCCGTCCCGGGCGCGCTGAGCGCGCCAGGGGCGCCGCCCGGGGAGGGCCCAGCGCGGATCCTAGAAATCCGCGCGGATCGACAAAGGTGTATGTGTATGCTGCGCACAACGACGCTGCACGTGACGCTGGCCCTCCCTAAGGGGTAGTCGCGACAGAGCGTGGAGGAGAGACATCGCCATCAGGGCGTGGATGGCGGAGGGGTGGCGCGCTGCCCGACGCTGGGCCTCCCAAGCGGGGACGTAGCACGAGGACGTGGGACGGGAGAACACCTGCCGAGCGACGGTGGAAGGTGGTGAGAGTGGTGATGCGCTACCCGTCGGTCGGGAGAAGTAGACAAAAGCATGAAGTAGGAAGGCGGACAAAGCAGGCTGGGTTCAGGCCCTCTCAGAAAACAGCAACACACCGCAAAAGCATGTCGATGATTGAAGTAGGGAGGCGCTTGAGGCAGAGTGGGATCTGGGAATCCACAACACCTACTTTCAGTGACCGGCCTGCACGCTGCACAGCGCAGACGCACACACACACACACACACACCCTGGGGTCGCGGAGGGTCCACGGCCGGGCCCCGGGACGAGGTCCGAGCGGGAGGCGGTGGGAGGCGGGGCGAGAGCTGAGCCAGCCCACGGGGCCACTCGTCGGAACGGCGCTTCGGTCGAGCCCTGCGCCTTCTGCAGCACGTGGTTGCCATGCTGCGACTCGAGCAGCTCGACGACGTGGCCGTGCATCTCAGCGACCAGCTGCTTCTGCATCGGTATCTGTGCCCGCTCAAGCAAGGACTGAATCAAGAAGCAGCCGGCCTGGTCGATGGACAGTCGTACCACCTGCCCTCGCACCACCTCGCACGCCACCGGCACGTCGTCGTGGGTCAGATGGTCAGCTCTCTTTATGAAGCTACCAAGGTCACGCCGACCGTCGTGCTCTCCTCTAGCCTGCCCAGGAGGGGCAGACACTCCTCCGACTGGTTCTCATCATGCTGCTGCTTGGACCTTGTCCTGCCCTTCCGCCTCCTCTCCCTGCTTTCCCTCTTCCTTCTACTACTCGCCGACTTCCTCCTTCCTCCTCGTCCTTCTCCTCCTCCTCCTCCTCCTCCTCCTCCTCCTTCTCCTCCTCCTCCTCGTCCTCTTCCTCGTCCTCCTCTTCTCGTCCTCGTCCTCGTCATCGTCCTCCTACTCCTCCTCCTCCTCCTCATCCAAATCCTCACCGTTCTCTAGATCGCTCACCTCGCCGATCTCCACCATCTTGTGCGCATCCTCCATGCGCCCCAAATCTCCGCCGATCCCGCTTCTCGATCTCCTTCCTCTCCCCTCCCCTCCTCGTGGGGATCTCGAAAGGTACCGATGCCGCTACTCCCTGGACCTCTCTCGGGGTGCGCTTTGACCAGAACTCCGGGGCGAATCTAGCGGTGGCGGCGAGGGCCTCCCAGGAGGCCCCGAACAGGGAAAGGCGAGGCCAGGGCAGCGGTGTGTCGGTACCTTGTCCTCCTCCGATTCTCCATCTCCTGCCGCTCCCTCCCCTCCTCCGCCTCCTCTCCGCCACGCCACCCACCTCGTGCACGCACTGCCGCTCGCCGAGAGGCAGTGCGTGCGCGAGGTCGATGGGGGGAGGGGCCCTCTCGCATCACCCCGCGCGGGAGGGGCAGGTGCGTTCATCTCGCCGCTGGACGGGTGAGATGCGAGATGCACTCTCACCTCCTGCCCGCGGCTGCCGCTCCACCCTCTCCATGCACGACGGCCCCTCCTGACCCGCTGGTGCACCCCATCCTTGCTGCACCCCCTCCCCGCCTCGCCTCTCTTCTCCGTGCCTCTCCTCTCCTGCCTGCATCTCGTTCCTCTCCTCCCCCTCTTCCTCTCCCGGCCCCCCTCTCCCATATCATCCCCCCCCTCCTTGCACTCCATATCCTCTTCCTCCTCCTCCCTTCTCTCCTCCCTCCTCCTCCTCCGCCTCCTCCTCCCCCTCGCCTCTCCTCCTCCCCGCCTCCGCCTCCGCCTCCTCCTCCTCCTCTCACCCACCCCATCCGCAGGCCTCAAGAGGCCCCCTGAAGGCCCCAGGTTGTGGGCGCGAGGGCGTCTCAAACCTTGGTTCTCCTCCCTCCTCCTCTCCTCCTCCTCCGTCATCCTCCTCCCCTCCTCCTCCTCTCCTCCTCCTCCTCCTCCTCCTCCTCATCCTCCTCAACCCCCCTCACTTCCACTCCTCCTCACGCCCTCAACTCCCTCCATCCCTCCCTCCATTCCTCCCTCCCTCCCTCCCCTGATTCGTCCGTCCAGCCTCTCCGCCTCCCCATCCAGATCCTGCCTCTGCCTCCGCCTGCCCCTTCCTCCCCCTCGCCTCCGCGTCCTGGTCCTGCCTCCTCCTCCTCCTCCTCCTCCTCCTCCTCCTCCTCCTCCTCCTCTTCCTCCTCGGGGGGGAGGGGGGGAGGGGGGGGGGGAGACATCGCCGACACATCGGCGACAGGCTCCCGAAGGCGAAGCCGCACGCCCCTGGGCAGGTGGGCTGTTGGGCCCTTGTCGGCGACTAATGGCCGATTGCGAGCAGATGCGACAAGATTGATGCTTCGTCCTGGACAAGAGAGAGAGGGAGGACGAGGAGGCAGGACGAGGAGGTAAGGCAGGAGGGGAGTCCCCCTCCGTCGGGCCACAGCGTCGCCGTCGTCGTCGCCGTCGTCGAAGACGGCGGCGGCGGCGGCGGATCCTCGACGGCGGCGGCGGCAACGACAACGGCGGCGCCGGCGGCGAGGGCAGCGACTCCGCACAACGACGGCGCCGACGACGGCGGACGCTGCGCAGACGATGACGACGGCGACGACGACGACGACGACGGCGGCGGCGGCGGCGGCGGCCGCTCCTCCTCGAGGAGCGCGGCGGCGCTCCGCGCTTCTGGCGGCCCGCCGCCAGCCTCGGCCCGCGCCAGCGCCGCCCTGCCGCCCGGCCTCTGCGCCGCCGGAACGCCGCCCCTGCCGCCGCCGCCGGCCGCCGCCGCGGCCGGCCGCCGCCATCGTCGTCGTCGTTGTCGTCGCCGCCGCCGCCGTCGTCGTCGTCGTCGCCTTCGTCGTTTTCGTTGCTTTCGTTTCTTTCGTCGACGTCTTCGTAGTTATCGTCGTCATTGTCGTCGTCGTCGTCTTCGTCGTCGTCATCATCATCATCATCATCATCATCATCATCATCATCATCATCATCATCATCATCATCATCATCATCATCATCATCATCACATCATCATCATCACCCACACCACCACCACCACCGCCATCCTCCTCCTCCTCCATCATCATTATCATCATCATCATCATCATCATCATCATCATCATCATCATCATCATCATCATCAATCATCCATCAATCATCATCATCGATCATCATCATCAGCATCATCATCAGTCAGCATCATCATCATCATCATCATCATCATCATCATCATCACATCATCATCATCATCATCATCATCATCATCATCATCATCATCATCATCATCATCATCATCATCATCATCATCATCATCATCATCATCGGTATCAGCATCAACACTATCATCATCATCATCATCATCATCACCACCACCACCACCACCTACATCATCATCATCATCATCATCATCATCATCATCATCAGCAGCATCAGTAGCATCATCATCGTCATCATCGCCATCACCGCCATCATCATCGTCATCAGCAGCATCATCATCATCAACATCAACATCATCATCATCATCATCAGCAGCGACATCATCATCAGCATCATCATCATCAGCATCACCATCATCGTCATCGTCATCATCAGCATCGTCATCAGCATCAGCATCATCATCGTCATCAGCATCATCGTCACCATCAGCATCATCAGCATAATCATCATCAGCAGCATCATCAGCATGATCATCAGCAGCAGCAGCATCATCAGCATCAGCATCATCATCGTCATCAGCAACATCATCATCAGCATCAAGATCATCATCATCATCACCATCACCATCACCATCACCATCATCATCATCATCATCATCATCGTCATCATCATTATTATTATCAGCATGAACATCGTCGTCGTAATGTTCATCATCCCCTCCAGGCGGGGGTAGGATGGAAACTGACAAACTTATAAAGCACATGGCATGACCAACAACGAGGAAACCAAAGATCGATGGCTCAGAGACATAAATTCACACAAGAAACTACCAAAAACCATCAAACCAAACAGCAACAAAGAACACATTAGTCACACCTGCCGCCCCCATATAGAAAGGGTTGTGAGTGTTGCGTTTGGTGTTTTCTGTTCGTTGGTACTTGTAGCTTGCTGATGTTCAGCCCTGGCTCGTTGGTTTGTGTGCGTTGTTTGGTGATTCCTTGTGTATTGGTTTTCCACCACCAGCTAGAGGAATGAGACAAAAGTATTCAGCGCTTACCGAAGGACTCCATCCGAATGAATCCTTACTGAAAAGCCTAGAAATCCTCACTGGGGAATCCTTGCCAAAGAATCCCTACTCAGTAACGGAGAAATCCCGATTCACGAGCCCTTACTGAAAGAATCCTTAAAGAGGAATCCTGAACAATAAATCCTGACTAAGGAATCCGCACCTAAGAGCTCACAATGAAGAATCCAGTCTAAGGAGCCCTTACTCTGTAGCCCTCTGCAAGAGAATCTCAACCAAAGGCTTCCGAATAGATGAAGCCTTGATAAACAAACCCGCACGAACAAAAAATACCTTACTGAGGAGTCCGTGCTAAGGAGAACATGGTACGGCTTCGTCTGTCCCTCTCCCTTTCTCTCTCTCTCTCTCTTTCTCTCTTTATTCTCCCTTTCTGTGTCCCAACTCGCAGCGTCCTGCTCCTAACGCGACGAGAGGGCCCCCCACGGTCGGGTGTTGCTAGAAGTGCCCCTGGCCCAGGGTGCCCCTAGCTTCTCGCTCGATTTTGGAGCCCCGGGGGCCCTCCGGGCCTCGTGAGAGATGCTCTGGAAGCCGTCTGGGCCATCCCGAGAATCCTGTGGGGCACCTTGGGCCAGGGGCACATCTAGCAGCCCCCGACGCGGGGGTCCCTCGGGAGATTCTTGTTAATGCGTCGGAGGTCTGGGTTTTCGGGACGCTGGATCCAAGATTAGGTCGGGCATGTCCTCCTACATGGGGATGCAGGAAGAAGAATTAAAAACAGCCCAACAATGTTCAAACTAATATCAGAAATAGTCGAAACGTCGTCCCCTGACTAATCTAAACTATTTTGGAATACTCCTCCTGTAGAGGGACATGCCCGACTTAAATCTAAGAGGAAGCGCACGGAGCTCCGCGCGGAGTTCTTGGATCGGTGACGGCCCGGGGCAGCGCCGCACGCGCCGCCCGGTGGGCCCATCGCGGAGCTACGAAGCAGTCGTTTCTTGGTCGAGGAGCTCCGGTCGGGGAGACGGTACAGTGGAGGCCAGTCCACAAGAAACCTTTCCTGAGAAACCCAACCCTGAGACCCCAGGACGTCCATGGATTTCGGTGTGGGAACCGCACGCCTTCCACGGCAGAACCATCGAAACCCAAGAAACCCATGGCACCCTGGAGGCAAACATGGCGCTTCTTGGCATGGGCCCCCACTGTACTGACCCCGGTCAATCCAGACCTGGGTCAGTCAGGCGCTGCAGGATCCTGCACCCGAGCCCAGGTCCATGAACCCCTGACACTGCAGGACCCTGCAAGACCTGGCGCACTGACATACCCCCGTTCGCATGGACCCCCGTCCCTTGAGCCCCGATCTGCGCGTGGAGGACGAGGAGAAGACGGAGGAAGAGGAGGACAGGCAGGAGGAGTGGCAGAATAGGAAGAGGAGAAGGGGGAGGAAGTGGAGGAGGAGGAGGAAATGGAGGGAGAGGAGAAGGCCTGGCCGTCAGGAAACTGGCGAGAGGCCCAATCCGAAGCTCGACGCGGGCGGTCGCTGCAACCGCCCCGCGAGGCCTGGAACCTCCGAGCTCGGCACGGGCCCACCGGAGAGCGTCCTGAGCACCCAGAGGCCGCCAGGATCTTAAAATAAGAGCGGGCATGTAAGATCTTATTTTCTAACATAGCTGTTTTAAGAGATTAAGAACCTTTCATTCTTTCATATGAATACATATGTTTGTAGCAGGTTTGTAGTCATGTTCTTGGTATGTGTTTAAGCGGTGTAGCGATGTGGAACAATCTATGTGGTGCAATTTGCTTAGGATAGGCCCTCGGCGTTTCTCGTCCTTGTTTGTCGGTCAGGCCTCTTCCATCGGCATCGTTTTTGATCCCAGGCCGCCCCTCGACTCGAACCTCGCCCTCTTCGGGTCCCTCGAGGGTCCCATCGAGCGACATTGTCATTGCCATTCCCGTCGTCAGCTTCGAGGGCTCGAGGAGCCCTATGAGTGCCCGCGGTGCCGCGGGGGCAACGCGAGGGCCCGTGCGATATCACGATATCCAGCGCTGGGTGCGCAAGGCGACATGGCTCCTTCTCATTCTCATCATCCAATCTCGTCTTGTCTTCCTCCACAGTTCCTCACACCTCCCTCATTGTTTCAGCCTCCTTATCGTTGCAGGTGACGTTCGTGGAGATGCAGCGTTTGCAGACGCCTCACTCGTCCGAGGACGAGGCCAGATGATGATGATGATGATGATGATGAGGAGGAGGAGGAGGAGGAGGAGGATGAGGAGGAGGAGGATGAGAATGATAATGAGGATGATGATGATGACGATGATGGTGATGATGCTGATGATGATGATGCTGCTGCTGATGATGATTATGATGCCAGGAGGGTAGGGGGGGAAAGGAGATGCTGGTGAAGAGGTGGGAAGGTGGAGGTGATGACGCCGAGGCGGCGGGGGAGGGGGAGGGGGAGGAGGAGAAGGAGAAGGAGAAGGAGGAGGAGGAGGAGCAGGAGGAGGAGGGGGCGATGATGATGATGATGATGATGATGAGGAGGAGGAGGAGGAGGAGGAGGAGGATGGGGGGGAGGAGGAGGAGGAGGAGGAGGAGGAGGAGGAGGAGGAGGAGGAGGAGGAGGAAGAGGAAGAGGAGGAGGAAGAGGAGGAGGAGGAAGAGGAGAAGGTGGAGAAGACGGATCGGATGAGGAGGATGCGAACGCTAAGCAACATTGTCAGCAAACTGATGCGAGTGACGGGATGCGCGGGACGTGCAGTCGCGTGAAGGACACGATGTGAGTTTGGGTGCGAGTTGGATGCGTCCAACTCGCATCCAATTCGTGATCCGACTCGTGGTTGTGCGTCCCACGTATCCCGCACCCCGCTTCGCGTTTGCCATTGGCATTCGCCTCCAGGCGGTGCCCCCCACGCAGACGGCGGTGGACACGGGCGACATGTTCGCGGAGGGCGCGGTTGCTGCCAGCGAGGTGCTCCAGTCGTTCAGCGGCGTGACGGCCGTGGAGGCGGCGGATAGCTTCCTGGAGGCGATCTTCCCGCCCCCTGGCGACGAGGGCAGCGCGTCGGCGGATCCGCCCGAGCAGTCGCCGCCTGCAGCGCAGCCATCGCCCACAGAGGAAGTCCCTGATCCAGCAGATGAGCCGACGGTGCCAGGCGAGATCGGTGCAGCCGAGCCGCAGGCGGTGACAACGGCTGGCGGTGACGAGCCGACCAGTGGCGGCGGCGGCGCAGCCGAGGCCGGCAGCGCTGCGGGGGCGGCGGCGCCAGCGGCAGTCGCGATCGAGATTGATTCAGACGAGGAGCGAAACGATCAGACGATGACGAACAACCACGGATCAGATGGGCTGCTCGATCATGAATCGAGCAGCTCGTTCGACCCGTGGCTGTGGCCATCGGCCGATTGCTTCAGGAGCCCCTGTCGCTGAAGGTGAGGTCGCAGATGTCGGAGACGCCAGCGCCGACCTGGGAGACGTGCGCGCAGAGGCCCCCTGGAGACAGCCTGGTCGACGAGATCCAGAATGGCGACCTTGGTGCGATGCGAGTCGATGAGGAGACGCCCATGCC